AATTTTGATTACTGTCCTATATGTGATTTTACTCATATTTTCTAGCCTTAAACTCTGAAAACTAGCAAACTAACAAGCCACACTATATACCATTCAGACATAAATTTTCTGATATTATACTCTCTAAACACCTTGATATTTAGCATTTTCAAGTTATTACTCATCACTAACCAACTCTGCCATCTTCTCCTAGATATCTTAATTACATTCTAAATTATCACTATACCCCTTCTTCTCTCTATCTCAGAACCTCTTTTTTCTCTTAAATCATCACTACATCCCTCCCTTACTTTTTCTCACAACCTTTTTTTCCTCCTTTATACATTTCTTTTTCTTTAAATCACTGAATTATACATTTCTTTCTATGTAGATCTAAAAAAACTCCTGAATATGGACAGAAAGACAAATACAGCAATGTAGGTAGTGAAAATTTTAAAAATGAAATATTTTATTAATAAATGTAGAAAAATCTCAAACAAAACTAAAAACAATAAACATCAAGTCATGTAAAACTTAAGCTTTACAAAACTATATAAACAAAAATACCAAAATCATCAAAAATCTTAAATTTATTAAATCATCAGATATATCAAGTTCAACACTCTTGCCTACAATATTAATACATCAAGAATCAGTACTCAGTTGTAAATTTATATATTAAACAATAGGATTCCGCTGCAAAAGCCCAATTACAGCACCTTTATCAACTTGAACTTTGTACTCATCGATCACTGCATCAACTCCATCCTTAATAAAACATTGCACCATTCTTCCATCCTAAGTATTTATCTTCAATTTGGCTTTGAACTCTGTATGATAAAGTCGCAGCAAAATCTAATGGAACATTCTGCATCACGAAAACGTGTCAATGAAAAAAAATAAAATATGATTGACTAAAACATAAGCAAACTACATTATAAATTCAATTTTCCAAACAACACATACAATAATTCCATTTGAATGGTAGCACTCGGAAAATACAAAATGAAAATCTGCCCCTTCACAGCTAGCTGACATACTATTTGCCCAAGAATTCACCTCAATCATCGAAGACTAACCTTGAATCAGAGGCTTTCACCCACATTTTTTTACCATCCTTACCCAAAAAGACCACAAGACTAGAAAAAATATATAGAAGTATTCAATTTATATCCAGAATTTAAACTAATAATAAAAGAGTTTAAGCGTGAGTCAAACATGCAATTAATTATAATAACATCTCCAACATAAATATTTGACTTAAGAGCTCATGCAACCTGATCACACTCATCTAAAGGCATAAATGTAGGAGTTTTTGATTCAGACTTTGTATATTGATATGAAACTTAAACAAATGACCTGAAATTTAGGAAAATACCCTTTTTTTTTCTAAGGCTGACATTCTATACCTAGCATCAAGTTCCATGGATCCAGCATTAAAAGTCAGACAAAAACATGCTACAAATATTAACCTTTCAAAGCTTTTATAACTTAGTTTCTCTATAAGCATGTATATCATTAGACAACCTTCGAATTGTGTCACCACTAAAATTTCTGATCCAATACTTAAGAGTGCTCAAATAGTCTAAAATTATTAAAGCTTCTACCACTCCGCCACAATAGTTAAGTTAGACCTCATTTTTTATTCCCTCGACACTCTCATCAGTATTTTCAAGATAGCTAATCACAACATAAATTTGCTTGAAATGCAAAATGATCCTAATAAGCCATACAAGTTCAAAACAACAAATCTTTTGGAAGAAAAATAATAGCATTCCATGACAAAGCCAATAACACATCTCAAAATACTATCACAGCACACAATGTTACAAAAGATGCATATATTATTTTTAAAAACAAAGAAACAGAACAAAACAAAACTCCAAAAACAATAATCTGAATATTAACCATATTTCATTTACTTAGAATTTTCAATTACAACCTACTACCTAATAAAGCTATATATATTTGCATCTAATAAACTAAAAAGATACTAACAACTTCAAACTAATACAAAAAACTATAATCTAAACTTCAAAAGCTTGCCAAAAAAAACCCCCTGAACAAACCACTACCTGAACTATTAGGGCGAGGGAAACTTGAATGCTTCCGAATCTACATCAGAATCCCCGGGAGAGTAATGATATATGTTATCTCCAAATTCATCATCGGAATCTACATTACACTCCCCGGGATCCACTTCTTGTCCCTCATCATCATCATCCCCTGCCTCTTCTTCAAACACTTCCCCCTGAACCTGCTCTTCTTGAGGCTCACCCTCCTCGTCTTCTTCATCTTCTTCTTCCTCGTCTTGTGCCTCATCCTTATCTCCTTCCTCATCTTCTTCCTGTTGCTCTTCTAATTCAGGCTGAACTTCCTCATGAACCACTGGTGGTTCCTGTGGTTCCTGATGAACCACCAAAGCAGCCTGATCAGCACCTTGTCCTTGCACCTCCTCAAAAACTCGACAAGGAACCTCTGCAAAAAACTGAACATCCTCATCATCTGAGGAAATCTCCATGTCAACAACCCCACCCTCGACATTAACCACCACACCAGACGTCTCTCCTGCGACACCCACGGACCTAGACGCCTTTAACTTAGAACAAACTTCCGCCTCACCATCACTACCACTAACAACTTCTATAACACCAACACAATCACTATCAACCCTAACCCTCTTATTCCATGATTTTTTTTTCAAAATCCTTAAACTGAGACATCTCGGCCTCCAACTCAGCCAACTCCCGCCGTAAAACCTCACATCTCCAATCAGCCTCTATAAGGACATGCAAATTCACGGATAAGGAATCTTCGAGTTCAGCTTTCCTCCTAGAAAACGACTTGAAGAAACTTTGACGAGGAACCACCATTAAAATCAGCCATTTTCAGAGGAACTCAAAGGGTGTCTCTTTGAGATCATTTTTAGGAAGAAGAATTTCACAAAGAAAACCGCTTAAAAAAAGAAATAAATAGCAAAATGAAACCATTATGTCAATTTCGTGTCTCTTTATCTGCAATTTGCAACAGTGAATTAGTGCCATTGAAAATTGTGATGCATGTTTCTTCTTCTTTTGTTTGTAATAACACTGCAAACGTACTACACAAGAATAAGAACGAGAACATTCTAAAAATAGCAAAAAAGCTGAAAATATACTACGTACAATCTAATTAGTACAAAATTATCGTACCACAAAAATATCGCGCCGAAAAATCACTCGGTAACATAGACTTCTAAGTTTGAATGGCTCACTCAAAATTTTAAACTTTTTCGTCTTAAAAAAAAGGCACGAAAGTTTCCACTTACAACTAGCAAAACATTTACACACACTTTAAAATCACTCGATTTTTTTTTAATTTTATTTTATTAAAGGAATCATAACTGATACGCACAACTTACTTACACAATACGAAGTATATATTTAACCAACACATCAAAATATCATTATTGTGAGATTGTAATACCACTTATTTTTATAAAAAAAACATACTTTATTTCATTTTACAATACAAATTATTCCTACATTTAAAGAAAAACACTAAATTCTCAAAGTATATACAGAAATTAAAACTAAGAAAAACGATCAACAATATAAACACCCAATATTAACCATTTTGGACTATCATGCGCCTTGCGCGAGATGGGACAACTAGTATTTTAAAATACGAGTAAATTATTATTAATTTTTTTTTGAGACAGATAGAATAGTTGTTTGAGTGAAGTAGAGGACCACTTCTTGCGTGTATCCGGTATAATAAATTCCTAAAAACTTATGACGCATTTATCTTTTGATGTATTAAACCCTAAAATCCTAAACCCTAAACCCTAAGCACTAAACTTTAAACCCTAGGTCCCTAAAATATTGAGTAAAATTTGTCATTTCAAAACAACACGTTCCAAAACAACACTTAGCGAACTACTGAGAATAGTGATGGACTACGCCAAAGCGATACATCACTACTTTCCTAGGAACGTAAGGTATGTTGATGGGTTTTCCAAAGCAAGACATCATATGCATGTTGATTTTGGTTAGACTCAACGATATGAGTGATGGAGTCCTAACATGTGGTGGCAAAAGAGATAAATTGTCACGAAAGCATTAGATGCGACGATTTATCTTACCAAGAGTGGCTTAGATCCATTATCAAAGAGTTGCTTAACTTAGAGTAGTAAGTGTTAAGACAAGCCAAAGCATGCTGAATCACTCATTGATTTTTTGGATCTTAGAATCGCCTTATTCACGTCAAATGGGGACAAATTTAGTGCGTGGATAAGACGTCTAATAAGATTGAAAGTTTGCATGTATGCTTTTAAATTTTAAACTTATTATGTTATTTTCTTGATAAATGGTTATACTTTGCACTTATATTTATAGAATTCTAAATCAAATTACATTGATTTCCATGATTGGAATAGGAAATCTATTGTATAGACTTAATAAAATTTTGCATCAACAAATCTTAGAGCAACAACGGCAAAAAGTTGTCTAAATCCAAGTAGTTTTATGGTCACGTTGACAAATTCTGTAATAAAAAATTGAACTACCAAGTAAGGAATTCTATAATATAAAATTGAACTTGTTGCAAGTGTATATTTTGCACAATGTCCTGTTCTTCAGTGAGAGGAAATAAAGAGAGTTTACATTGCCAAAATCATGGAATTCTTTGAGACTGTTAATAAAGAGCCATACATTACATATCAATGTATCTATAGAGCTTATGATTATGTGAGTCTTCAAATTCTGTTTTAGAACATGGTGACAAATTGTAGTTGTTCCTTTGTTCAACAATACTCATATATCTTTTGTGCGTGGCAGGGTGCTACTCCAACTGTTGGACAAGAAGATTGCTTCTATATACCAATGGGACCCTGTCCCTAAAGTGCCTAGGGCCCCTGTAGACTTTGGGGCAAGCAGTGAAGCCAGTAGTAATAGGTCACGTAGTAGGGCACGGTCTAGACCCCGCTCCACAGCAAGTTATGGAGTAGTAGAAGAGTCACCTGAAGATAAGCGGAGGACAACTTTACGTGTGGCCTTTAGTGAATTAGTGCGACACCATAGGCTGAAGTTTGAGATGTTGGGTAATGTAGTAGAGTAGTTGGATATTGATAATACAAATAAGGCTAGTGTTTTTCTAGACTATACTCCACCTAGGAAGATGGATTTGATCATTCAAAAGCTTGGCAATGGTAGGATTTTTTTTTCCCCTGTTCAGTTTTATCAATTTTTAAATTATTTTCACTTTTCTGTCATCATTTATATTGGTTCAGGGTCTTTCAGTTGCTCCAAGTAATTTGGGATTTCTAATTTCAATATTTCCTATTTTTGGCTTAATCTATATCGTACAGATGCCCAGATTGCTAATGCTCACTGAGTTCAGTAGGCTAGCATGGCCCTTAAAATTCTTCTTGACTTGACCTAAAATCAAAATTGTATTTTGGGAATTGGGGTTTTTCCCAACAATAATTATGGAAAGAGATCCATGAAGTAGATATAATAACAAGTATGTCATAAAATTACCTTAAAGCGAGGAGGACACCCCGTAATAGAGATGAAAGTTGTAACATATTCTAAAAATTCATTGGCAGTTTTCATACTGACGCCCCTTAAGTACTCAAGGGAGGGGGTTGTTTCGGGGGTCGGGGAAGGGGAGAGGTGGGCTGGGCATAGACAGACTTAGTGGGCTGGATTCTAATGGTGTTAGTATGGCCCTTAATTAAAAATATAATAAAGTAAAATAAAATAAATTCACTAATTTTCATTCCTCATTCCATAATTCGTCTTACTGTTCTTCCTAAGAAAAAAAATCGTCTTCTTCTTCGTGACGCCATTTTGTCTTGACCCCAATTCACAGGTAACTTATTCTCATCTTTTTAAAGTTATTCACTTATTTTTGACGCTTAAAGGTGGTTTAATTTCTTAGCTCCACAATTTCGAAAATGGATGAATTCATCACAATTCGAATACTTTGGTCAGCTCCATAATTCATTCGTCTTCCTCCTCATTTGTGAAATAGTAATGTTTCTTTTTTTTTCATTAATTTAATTGTATTGCGAGCTCTAATTTTCTTGACTAATTTCATTTAATTTTCTAGGGAGTCTAGCTCTTGGGTTATTCGATTTTTTCCGTTTATTTTTTTTTTCAGACGTTGCTTGATTGTGAAATTTTTTCTGTAAATTTTTTTGTTAATCTTTATTCCCGTCTCCTAACTCCTAGATCAACCGTTGTCTATATATATAATTCATGATTGTTTTTATCATCTTTTCATTTTGTTATTCTAATTGCTAATTCCACGATTCTAATTTACAGTTTCTGATATTTACAATTAAAGTTTATTAAAATTAAAGTTTACATTACAAATTAATTTTATTTTATATTCTAATCTAAATTAACAATATCTAATTGAAGTATTGTACTTGGTCTTAATTTTTTTGTTGTTTGTACGATTTAAATTATTTTATTTTTCAAATTGTAGAAATGGCAACGAGATATCCATGTCCATGTGGAGCAGACGGTCTTATTATGGCAGTAACAAAAAAACAGGGGTGGATCACAATAGGAAGTATCTAAAATGTCCTTCTGTAAGATATGTCATCTGATTCTTACTCTTTGTTTCTATGAATGCTGATGTAGTGTCTTGTTACAAAATTGACAACTTTTGCAGAAAATTACAAATGAACAATAATGCAGAATTGAGAAATGTTGAGTACATTGTTTCTTTAATTAATTTTGTATGCACTTATTTTATCAGGAACATGGAGTTTGTGGTTTCTATTCTTTTCAAGACGAACTAAGACTCTGCGAGTGTGGTAAGGGATACTACCGCAATACCTTCAAGAAAAAGGTGAAATATTGGTGTTGTCCATGATTCTAAGGTTTGTATAATACACTTATCTACCCATTTATGGTATTGTATTATCAACCGTGTCTAATTACATGTTTTGGTAGGGTACTGATGGTGATTGTGGATTTGAGGCATAAGTGCCTTCCAAATCCCCTACAACACCATGCCGGTCTTCCACAAGTATCCCCTGCCAGCCTTCCACAAATACCCTTGCTACTCCCAGATTCACCGAAGAAAAGTGCAGGGAAGCAATTTTGAGGTCTTTAGAAGTATCACAAATATCAAACAATTCCTTGGTTGACATTATTAAAGATCTTACTAACCTTTTGGTCAATAATGGTAATATCTCTGTGTATGAAACTCCTCAAAATAATGGTTGGAATAACGTATACAATTTCACTGTTTTATCGTAATTTATTTTATTTTTGGCTGTTAAATGAGAAAGACACTTATTCTTTTCTGGATTTTTCTTGTAGATATTTCTACCGATGATGACCTTTGAAGTGACACCACATTTTTAAGAAGATGAAGATATGTTTTTGCTGACCTGCAGTTATGTAATTGTACCAAAACAATCTGGCCTTGAACTTAATATATGTTCATTAGAACAACATAGGTAGATCTTTTGTTATATTAATTAGAATTTAACTAGTTTATTAATACGTTTGATGTGCGTGTTGTGCCCTTGGTGTTGGTTAATGTTGGTGTTTTGGTGGTACTTAGTCTATTATAAAGAGTTTTCTATTCTGGCTTGGTATCATACTTTTAGATGGATTAGTAGATGCACAACTATGAACATAATTATGCTTAAATAGCATTAGACAAACATTTGAAAGGCATGAAGTCAAAGATTCTCATATTTGAATTGGTGAACCAATACAACTATAGAACAAAGCTAAGCAAGTCAGAAAAACAGAAGATAACAAGCTTTACAATCTTAGATGCACCAATAAGTATAATAATTTGCACAAAAAATGCAAAAAACAGAAAAAAAAAAAAATTATAAAACAGAATTCACAAAATAATCCCAAAATACCCCACTCACAGCGACCAAAATCCTCATAAGCATACCTTGTTCAGGTAATTGTCAAGCGTTGTGAGATAAATGGGAAGTGTAAGAGAGAAAATTGGAAGAGATTAGTTTAATTAAGTGAATCAAGATATTTCGCAACCCTGACCCACAAGTCCACCCTTGGGAAGGATACCTTGGGTAAAACCACTAACAGCCTAGCATTTGGATACTTAACCCCTACTATCCTAACCCCTACTATCTTATCCCCTGCTATAATTCGGGGCTGAGTTTTCAAATTGGACTATAGGATAATTTGAGCTTATACTTATAACTCGGTTTCAAATTCGATTTTCGGTTTTTCACATCCTCAAACCAAATTTGAACTGAAAATCGAATTTCCCTGATTTCCCAAACCATACCGAATATTAGCACTGCTTATAAAAAGATATTTTAGAATACTTCCTCCGTCTCTTTTTTACATTCCTGCTTTCCTTTTTAGGTATTCTAAAATTATATTTCTCCTTTTCTTTTTTAGTAAGTATTTTTTTTCCAAATATCCCAAATTATCCCTCCTTTTTCTGTTATGTAATTAATTTCACTCTTATTTTCTCACTCTTACTTTCCTATTCTCACTCCTAAATTTAGATGAATATGATTGGTTCTTAATTTTCTAGTAGGAGCATGTTATTGGTCTTTTTTTTTTTTGCAAAGGATTACATCATTATTAAATATTAATCTATCTTTGTTTTACTCAAAGACATCATTTAATGTTTTGTACTTCCTATTGTGTTTTGTTTTATTGTTATTCGTTTTATTCTTATTTCCTTAATTCCCGTGTATTACAAACAAGAATGTAAAAAAGGGACGGATGAAGTATCTTATTTTAGACATATACGAAATCACAGTTGTACCAACCCTCGAACCCATGACCTTAGGGTTATAATTTGTCAGCATTCCCAATTTTCGGATCGGATAGTTAAAATTTTTAGAAAAGGTCCGATCCAAAAATCCAAATTTTTTTCCGGATATCCGATTAATAATATCCGAAACTTTAAAATCGGATCAGATACCCAAAATTTTGGATCGGATCATGGGATTATCGGATCGGATATTTCGGATTAGATTCTTTTATACACCCCTACCTGGTACATGGCACAATAAATGAATTTCCCAACTTCTCCTCGACCTCTACACTCAAACTTTCCTTAAAAAAAAAAAGAAAAAAAAAAAAAAAAAAGAAAACCTCTACACTCAAACTAGCATTAAATCTCTCTTTTGCTTTTTTTCTTAGGTGGCATAGGCTTTTAATGCAATTTCTCACCCAAACTATTCAAATCAATCAATAAACTAGTAATTTCTCTTATGCTTTTTAATTTATATATGGCGCTACTGCTATTGAAAACAGCTAGTAATTTAATGAGAGGCAAAGGAGAAACCGGTAAGAACCAAAAAAGAAATGGGGAAAACAAAAATGTTGAGGTATCTTTGGTTGAATTGGTTTGCAAATTGAGTTTTTTTTTTGTTATATTTGCTGCTAATTTACTCTCGGTTTGCTAAGCTTTCTGTATTTCAATTGAGATTATTTGAGGTCATTTGTGCATATTGTTGGTCAAATTTTACCCTAGTTTTCTGCTAGTGTGCTGGGGTAAATTTAGTCTAGTGTATAACATTGAATTTGTTTTGTGTGAAATTTTTTGATTAGTTTATGGGAGATTGTTTACGATTTCAAGTAATTTCTCGTAACTCATTTAATGACTTGACCTGGTTTAAACCAATTTGTTTTAGGTCAAAACCTGTTTTTAAACATACCCATTTCAACCCAAACTGATTATGACCTAAATCAATAATAACCCAATCCGAATTTAAGGACTCGAACCGATTAAGGACTGACCCGATTAAGACCCGACCTGAATAAAATCATAATAAATAAAAAAAAACCTAATCGACTCGATAATTTTCAAAGTCGATCCGAACCAATCCGTTAGTTGTTTAAATATTTTATTGCTCGACCCGTTATAATTCAAAACTGATAAACCCAGCCCAAAACCGAAACGTTGACCGGAATTGACACCCCTAGGAACATGGTTTTGATTGTGACCCGAATTGATTATACTCGACCTGATTTGACCCGATGTTGATCTATAGAGCTAAGAGTAGACCAACATTAATCTACCTATTGTTGATCATTGGTGGTCTACGGTGCCATTGTAAATCAACGTTGGTCTACTCTTACACTATAGACCAACGTTGATCTATGGTGGTCATAGTAGACCAACGTTGATCTATAGTACTCAACGTAGACCAACTTTGTCGAATGTATATTAAAACCCTGAACCCTTAGACACATCAAAATTTCCAACACTAAGATCAAAAAAATTATATCTATAATACAAAATTGAACTTGTTGCAAGTGTTTATTTTACTCAATAATGTCCCGTTCTCCAGTGAGAGGAAGGACAGAGAGATTACATCGCCGAAATCATGGAATTCTTTGAGATTGTTAATAAAGAGCTATACATTATAGCTCAATGTATCTATAGCTCTTATGATTATATGAGTCTTCAATTTCTGTTTTTGAACATATTGTCAAAGTTTATCTATAGAGCTTAGAGTAGACCGACGTTGATCTACCAATTGTTGATCAATGGTGGTCTACGGTGCCATTGTAAATCAACGTTGGTCTACTCTTACACTTTGGACCGACATTGATCTATGATTGTCATAGTAGACCAACGTTGATCTACAGTACTCAGCATAGACCAACGTTGATCTATGATACTCAAAGTAGACCTATTTTGATCTATGTCGGTCATGGTCGACTGTAGATTAAAACCCAATATGTGGCCTACGTGGCCCTCACCACTTCCTCCTCCTTTTTATTTTTATTATTTTGAATAATTTTACATGTAATTGTTTGAGTTTTGATTTTATAGTATAAATTTTATGTTTTTAATACTTCTTCCGTTAAAGGTTAATTGCAACAATTACTAAAAATGGGTGCTAACCTTTAATTACAACAATTTTCTTTCCATTTTTAGTAAGTTTTTTTATACCAAAATTACCAATATACCCTTAAAATAAACTAATTAACCTACACTTATACACTTAACTACAACCAATTAAAATCCTAATCTAACATTACTGTCTAACCATTCCCACCAAAAAAATTAGATCCCACTTCCTCTCTCATTTCCTTTTAATCTGACTTCCCTCAAATTTATTCAACTACCCATCTTACTCATTCATTGAAACCTTCAACCACCTGCATTTACTCCAAGGCTTTAAACCCTAACTCTTCTCTACATATAAAACCCCCTCTCCTTGCACTCCACGCGTATAACCTTCATCTCCCAACTTCTCTTCTCTCTCTCTCTTCTCAAAGTTACTGGCATTATTTTTTCTAAAAATTTCGTCCAAAATTATGAGTTCCCCACCTGAAAATTCCTCCAATCTCTTCGCGTATAAGAATCTGAGAGTTGAGAAAGATGATACCGACCTTCCCCCTCTCGATGTCCAGGTGTACAAGTGTGAGCGCAAAATAGAAAAAATGAAACTCGCTCGTCGGTGCACTTTGAAAACAATGAGATTCAAAAAAGCGGTTACGGTGCAAAGATCTCTGAGTAAATATCATATAAGGATGATACAAATTTGGGGAAAAAAAGTGAAGCAGAGAATTGTCCTCATGCAGATCTAGGTAAAAAAATCGTTGTGAAGCCTGATGTTGGGATACTCTGCCCAAATCTGAAAAGGAAGGTTATTGTTGTTGATGATACCCATGAGGTTGCTGTCATTAGCAACCTTGAGACAGTTAGATCTGCTCCTGCTAAACAACAGAGCAAGGGTCCTCTTTCTGGGCATAAAAGGGATCGTTATGGGTACCCAATTGACATGGACAACATGATGAGGATTATCTGGCTTACTTGAAGGAGTTCCATCTAGAAATGTTTCATGACAATTGATTTCGCAGCGTAACTACTATCAAACCCTTGATTTATCATCATTTACTTGTAATTACTGTGATTTTTTGGCCGGGTTGTTGGCTATTGTTGTTGAATGATTGCCTTTTACTACAATTGTTGCATGTGTTTGCTGTTGGGGAATGTAATTGATGGATGATGATCTTGTATGTAACTTCTTCATAGTTTTTCATAGAATTGGATTGATAATTGGCCTAAATTAATTTGTTCTCAATGACATTATGTAAGAGAACAGAGTCCCTGATGTTGTTTGTAACTTTTGTTTTTTCTGTCTGTGGTTGCCTAATTCTGAATTCCTATGTCAATGGTTGGTGGTTGACTTACTGTGAATGTTTTGATGCTTGGTGGTTGCCTGCATTTTAAATGAGTCCCTCCCTTTATTTCATCCCTTATTGTGATTGTGTTGATAGTTAGTGGTTGCCTACAATTTAAATGAGCCCTTCCCCTTAATTTTTACCTTATTGTGACTGTGTTGATGGTTGGTGGTTGCCTGCATGTGAAATGAGTCCCTCCCTTGAATGTGTGCATCCTAGTAAAACTTCAAATGATGTATAGCTTTGTTTGATTTGCTCCAACATATTCAGTAATGAATTGTTGTTGAGGTAACTTCATGGACATTTTATATGCATACAAACACTCTTTCTGATGGAGTTACACAACATGACCAATGATTTAGGTAAGAATGAGGCAAAATCAATTGTTTGTCATTTCATTAAGGGCTTGTCAAAATACCTCATACATGACATACAATAATAAGAAGTTGTTACACATAGCTTAGAACATAAAACCTGATAAAGGACTGCCTTATCCTACATTTACATTGTTTGTCAAAATACACATAACCACAGTACAAGAACCAAAAACACTTACATTCCCAAAATAAACAACAAAGATATACACAAGACTAACATGTTAATATTATGCATACTTTCTTCTTTCTTCAATGGTTATGTGTGGCAGTCCTTCTATTGGTTTTACAAACATCAACACTTTTGTCTAATCAGCATCCACCTCCATTCCTGCATCATCCACATTAGCTTCACCTACTTGTTTGAAAAGTGTGTTGAGGTATGTGACAGCATTTTCAATGCGTTCCCTTTCCACCTCTAAATACTCAGGGAGAATGTAATGCCCCGTATTTTATTTAAAATATGTATTTTGTATAGTATTTAAATAATTTTTAGGAAAGAGTAAAGAAGGAAAGTTTAGGTAAGAACTAAGAAGGGTTTCTAGAGAAAAAGGGTATAAATATTCAACACTTGAGGCAAATCAAACTTTTCCTAGAGTGGAGAAAACCCAAGGTAAAGTTTCTCTCCCTTCTCCTTTATTTTTCTTTTATTTTCTTTTTCTATCTTTCTTTTCCCCTTCCCCTTTTTTTTTTGCACGGCTGGCCACCATCATCACACCACCGACCACCACCTAAGGCCACCGACGCACGACCAGCAACCGCGACGGCACAGGCGGGGCACGGCAGCAGCCCAGCTGTGTTGAGGTGGCTGATGCTGCTCGGTTTTTCCCCAAAAAAAATTAATTTTGTTTTAAATTCTTGATTAATCTTGAATCTAATTTCTAATTATGGGTTTTGTGATTTATATTATGATGTTTGATTATGATTAATATGTAATTAAATTTTCAAATTTTAATTCTAATTAAAAAGCCTCAATTTTGAAACCCTAAATTCATAAATTATTATTTATTGAAGAATTATGATGTAGGGTGGATTAAACCTTTAATTCAAGTGTTTTAAATCATAATTACAGCAATTTTTCATGATTAAATAATGCTAGAATTTTCGGTAATATGCTAAAAGTTAAGTTTCTTTAAAGAATTTTAATTACCCATTATTTAGGATTAAAGTACGAGGTTTTAAATAAATTTCAACATATTTTTAATTAATTTTGGGTGGTTTAATAAGATTATATATTGTTGAAAATATGTATAGAGTGGATATGAATGCCTCATTATGATTTTGGTTTGTAGGAGAATTCCAATTAAGTGATTTCGCTTAGTCGCTGCAATTTTAAGATCATATTCAAGGTACGTTCGCGTACTTGGCATATTTGTGAGTAATTTAGTAGCATGCTAGGTTTGGATAATTTAATTACAAGTAGTATCATGCTAAGATTTATGTTTGGAATTGTAGATTATTGATGTTGGTGATTGAATTATGAAGCATGATTTGTTGGTGATGGAATATGGATTGGAAACTATTGTTTGGCATGTTTTGTATGAACGACACTTTTATTTATGGCATGTTAGAATGCATGTTTAATTAAACTAAATGTTTAATTTGGTTTAGAATAATGAAAAGGAATCTAATTATGGTTCATATAATTTTTATTAATGCTATAAGCATGAGAAAGAAGCTATGTAAGTGTCTATGTATATGAGGAATAAATTGAATGTTGTTGCCTTAGTGCACTTAGGGTGCTTTTAACATCGAGGGATAGGATTTGTGGCGCTTTATGTGTTTAAGGTGTTTTTGACACAGAGGTAGATTTAAAAAGGGTTCAACATAAAATATTATGTGGTCATTAATTATTCAAGTATTAAATTGGTACGTTGTTTGTTTGAATAATTATTGTGGATTGCATATTTATAGTTAAGAATCATCACCAAGTCTAATACTTCCTCCCTTCTATTAATATTGCAACAAGGAGAAAATTACGCATCCCAAAGCACATTTTATATGCTAAATATCTATAATTGTGTAAGAGTAAAAATTATAAAAAGTTGATATTGTGAAAGTATTTTATGAGACGAATCCAATAAAATCCCACATGACTATATTTTACTTAACGTATAAATCTATGTTATAAGGTCAAACAAGAGTGATGAATAGTGCAAAAGTCCATTGTTGCAATATTAATAGAACGGAGGAAGTAATATGTAAATAATGTAAAGGGAAAGAGATTAAGCACCAAAACTCTTGGAACGTATATACCTTGAGTATGAACACATGGGGGGAGTTATGGGATTTTATATTTAACCATAACTTCTACTGGAGTACAAGATACTGTACATTCCATTTATTTATTATTATGCGCATGGATTCCGCCACGTACGAGTGGTTATTTGATGCTAGCACGGTTAGCTCTCGCGTTAGAAACCCCAATTATTGGAGGAGGTTGGTTGGGAAACCCGCTGGATGCGTAATCAATGCTAAATAAATTATTTAGGGTTTAGTTAAAAAGTTTTATTGAATGTTGTGTGCTTGTATACAAGTGCATTGAGATAAGTGTGTGTTGATAGGTGAGAGCATGTTAGTGTGTTTGAATGCGCGTATGTACTCAGCTTTGATGATTGTGTGTTTGTTTGTTTAATGGCATTTTCTTTACCTTGGCCCTATGATGACCCATTTTTAATGGAGAGTAGTGGGAACAAGTAGGGAGAAGCTTTTTAGGTGATTGAAGCATATTCATGACGGGGCATGAGTGAAGAGCGAATCATGCTATTTTCTATTAGTTTATGATTTGTTTAATGCTTTGATTTAATTATGATTATTATTATTATGTGGGACTAACACAAAGTTTTAGACTTGGTATTTAATAAGGGCCTACAATGGTTCCAAGTTGTAGGTTGATTTTATTTGACTTCATTTGACTTTGGTTTTTTACTTTACCTTCGTTTGGTTGACTTTTAAGTTGACTTGTTTTTAATGGTTTTGAAATTATTCTTCCACTGTGCGTCTTTGATAGTTGCCTTAGCCGTTTTCACGGTGGCGGTAATGTCTTAGATTTTCCAAATTCGAGTTTTAAAGAGTAAAACAGGTATTTTAAAGGAAAGGAATTTCTAGGGTGTTACAGAGAATTCTCAACCTATCTAACTTTTTTTTGTCCATATGGGGTATTGAAGTTATTATTACCATCCTTCTCTAGTATTTTCTTCATCACACCTTGTAGACTGAGTCAAGTGTACTTGTTAAGAATTGGATCAAACTCTCCATATGCTTCTTTAACTTTCTCAATGAGATCATCACTTGTCTATGGGAATGACTGGTACTGTAATGACTGAATCAATTTGAACAACCCTAAATTTAACACATTTAAGTTAGGACTTTGTGCTGGTTGGTACACTAGTTGTATGTTAAACCCATTTGCCTGACAAGCTACTCTGAACTCTAGATCATTGGGATCTGGTGGGGCTTAGCATTATCCCACTGAATGAGCACATCTTTTTGGTAAGCTTTCAAGCCATTGTGTGTGGATTGCTGGTATTATATGCTCCATTAACATTGTCCTAATTGCTTCCTTATTGACACTTTGACTAACCTTTGTTTCAAGTATACCAACCTTCCTATTCTTGCTTCTTTTTTTTTACCCTGGATTTGTACACCAAAGGAAAAATTACATACTTTCCTAAATTTAGAAGCTGACATGTGTGCTATATAGGAGCTTCCCTATCATTCCCTTAAACATGGCCTTAACCTTGAATATTTTTTATTGCTGACATCTATAAGGGTCTTTTTCTTTTAGAAGGAGATACAAATTTCTTTCTTCTAGGTTCAAGTAGAACCATTTTTCATCAATGTGGATAACTTGTTGCATGTTAACAAATTTGGGGTTCCCTTCTGCTGGTATAGGATTTATGTGAGCTAAAGCCCACTTAATCCTTGCAATCATGTTGTTAGAAGTAAGGGATGGGTGGTTGGTGCTTGTGTGAGTTCTAAGCCTGCCCTTTTTCCCTAGCTTATGCAATGTGACATGTGAAATTTTCAAAGCTGCTGCATAACTTCTTTTTGTGATCCTCTTGTATAATGGGAAAGACATCAGAAACTCATCTGAGTATTCTGTTGGTTTTGGACCACATCTACCCAATTTATTGGACCTGACATCAATTACATTCCCCTTATTAATTTGTTTCTTGATTCTCTTGAATAACCTAGATAATGTGGATCTATGCACATTGAATTTTTTTGCTTGTTGAGTCAGAATTTCCCTTGGCAATTCACCATCTGTCATTTTTAGCAAAATTACATCAGCAATTTGTCTTGATTGCTCAACAGTTAGATCTTTCTTGCCATATTTTGGACCTCTATCACGTGGCAGTGGCGGGGCTGGGCCGGTGCAAGGTGGGCGACAGCTTAGGGCCCCTAAAAACAAAGGGCCCCCATTACTAATTACATAGAGTTGAAGTTGGATCAGTGGTTTTGTTGTACTTATGATAACCTCAAGACCAGGGTTCAAAACCTATAGGTTTCTTTTTTTTTGGCTTTTTAATTTCTTACCAATAAAATAAAGGCCCAATTTATGAAATTTGAACAGGGTCCCCAAAATCGTAGACATTTTTAGACCTGCCCCTACCATGTGGGATCTGTTGGTTAGTTGCATCTTCAGTTTGTGCATTTTCTTCTTCACTTGATGAATTTTCAGTCACTAAAATCTGAACAGTAAAGCATGTCTTCTTCCATGAGTAGTTGATCAATCCCATAGAAGTCTTCTTCAAAGATTTCTCCCTTTTTTATATTCTGTTGTTTGCAGATCAAAAAGGTGATGAAGTGAAGGTGGCTTTTTTTGGACAACTCAAGCTGAACCGTAGTAAGACTCAATTGATGTAGAAGACGTTGTCACTAATGTAGCACCATTAGAGTTAGGATTGTAGTTTTTGGGTAATTATGCTAAAAGTAGAACATATTTAGTGCTAGGTTTTGTGGTTTAAAGTTGTTGATATAATTTGGTTAGTGATAAGCCATGGTTTGTATCTTTTGAATTCTTGAAACTTCTATAAAGTGTTGTAATATTTATACCCTCCTTAGCAAGTGTTAAATTGCTAGGAGGAAAAACAATTAGAGGTAAATTTGAAAGCAAAAATTTGAATTTGGATGTAAAGTTTAGGAGGAAAAGTACACCTAAAAATCAGATTTCCTCCATTTTTAAAAATGTTATGTAGGCCCAAAATTCTTTCCCTCCTTTTTATTGTTAATCACATGGGTTTACATTACAATTCACAAGTAATAAAATTTTTGCATTAGAGTCCGCACACAACTCATTTGTTGCAAATTGCAATTAACCATTTATTCATGTTTTTTAATTTCATATTTGTAATCATGTTTTAAATTTCAAATTTTATGAGTTTTAGAACCTAGGGTTTTAATTTATTTAAGAAACATTTAAATTACCACCCTAAAATGTATTCATTTTCACAATAACCACCCGTTTTATTTTTATTTTTATTTTACCACCCTTTAAATTAAAAAATACTCAGCTTACCACCCATTTTAAAATTTCGGTGAATTTATGTTATGTGGACCCACTCAACGACTAGTAACGACTATGTTTAAGCATTACAATCAACCCTGTCTTCACTCCACCTCCCCCTTAAACCAGTTTATTGAGTACAAGTCAACCTAAAACCAAAAGAAAATAACTAAAAAATCCAAGAGCTTGTTGTCTGAATTGCCACTACTATTGATAATCTTTTACTGTCACCACTAAGAGTCGTTGGGTGGGGCCTACATAAGAGAAATCCACCGGAATTTTAAAATGGGTGGTAACCTGAGTAGTTTTTGAATTTAAGGGGTGGTAAAGTAAAAAAAAAAATAACGGGGTTTATTTTAATTTGAAAATGGATACATTTTTGGGTGGTAATTTAAAAAATTTCCTTTATTTAAATTGGGATTTTAGGGTTCTTATGATCAATTAAATTGGGGCTTTTGTCCCTATTAAATTTCTATTAATTTTTAAGCATAAAAACATGTTTTGAAGGAAGTTTTAAGGAGTTTTAATCAAATTTATATTGTTGGAAATTTGTTTAAGTATTAATTTATGATTTTTGGTTGTTTTCTAGAAAGTGATTATTTCTTAGGAGACTTTTAAGTGATTAACAGTGGCACAAAGGATTGTTTATACAAAGTACGTACATGTCTACTTCGTTGTAAGTAGTATCATGTTTAGGTACAGAAAGGAAAGACCTTAGTTTCATGTGATTATGTTTATGAGACATATTTTGGTGGAATTAATTATGTTTGTATGGAATTATGGATGCAAGCATGTTGATTTATATTTGATTAATTTCTTGTAGGGAATGTTGATACAAGCATATTTTTACTGGATTCGTTTGTTAACCACATTTGGATTATTGAAGGATTGGAACTGAATGGTTTAAGTGGAATGAATTTATTAATTATTCCACAAGGTTATTATTAATTTATTACTCAAACATGACTTGTTAGTATGCTGAGTTAAAGTTGATTAATCCGAAATGGTTAAGTAGGTTGACTATGTTCAACACTTATGGATAATTTGGAATATAATGGAATTAAAGGTCAATTTGTTATGTGAACATCGTTGTCCTAAATAAGATTAAAAGTGAATTATATGTATGCTTATTATGAGTGGTCTACTTGAATGAGTCGTGTAGGGAATATTTCAAGCATTACCCAAAACTTGAACCCCACTGTGATCATACAATTAAGCATGGTGGCGTCCAAAGGGAAGGAAGCTAGAGCAAAAGAGTCGCCAACAAGTTTTAGGAACTTGTAAACCTTTCACAGGATGAAGGTTACACCCTTTAACGATCCAGGAGATCGTTAACTCTAATAGGTCTGGAACCAAGACTGGAAGTTCGGGGATGAAGGTACAAATCCAATCTAAAAGAGACTGAACCTGCCCTAATAATAGGCCTCTACTTTATTCTTCTCGTATTCATGTGCGCTTTCTGACTAACATGCAATCAATAGATTAACCCTAAATCTATTTATCTATGTTGGTTAAATATTAACGCACAAACAAAACTATTATTGGCGATCACTTGAATTATAATCAAATTAACCCTAAACAAGATTATAAATTATCTTATTAAGCGTGATTATAAGTACAAATTCCCTTTAAACATGCATAACAGGCGTGATCAAGCAATAAAAATAATATTTCAAGCAACATAATCATAATAATAACAATAATTATAATCATAATTAAAATAATCATGTTCATGTTGAAAATAAAGCATAATAATAGCAAGATCCTAGGCATGATACTAACGAGGTTAATAACAAATCCTAGCATGTTACTAAACAATAAAAGATCAAAGATTTAACCCTAACATGATACAAACATAATATTAGGAAGACAATAGGAAGCATCATAGAAATCATAATTGATATAAGGAACTTATTGTTGTCACCCTAAACATCATACTAAAAAAAGTATCCTAACATGATATTAGGAATCAAAATAACAACCTAAACATGATTTCTATATCATAATATCAATAGATCAGTTAAAACACTTACTTGGATGCCTCGTACCTCTTTCTAATAACAAAATACACACGTTAGTAACTTCAAGGAAAATATAAAATCAAAATAATTAAATTAAATAATTGAAAGAGAGATTTAGGACCAAACCCTCAGAAATACCAAAACTTTCACGTCTAGGGCGAAGGCAACTTTAAATTGGGCTAGGTGTGTCCAGATCTTGTGAATGCGTAGTTTTGTCTGTGAAAAGTTGGTTCAGAAAAAGAGAGAGAGAGAGAATCAAGATTTCTTGATAAGAGTTGGTAATTACAAACAAAGATTAAAGGACGCTATTTATAATGAAAAATAGTTTGGAATATGATAAAAAAAAAAAAAAAGAATCGGAGTTTCAAGAGGAATAAAACACGACGTTGGCGCCGCAATAACCTTTGTCGCCGCGCGACAAGCTTGTCGCCAGGCGACAGCCTAGTGTGCGGCGCTGTAGGAAATTTTCCCACACGTTTTCTATTTTTTGATATAATTAAGCGTAAAAGTCCGTACGAGGGGTAAATTCGTAATTTCATTTAAAACACTTCTTTTAATCCAAATAAAACTCATAAAACTCAATTATCAATCCTAATCACATTAGGATTCAAAAGAACCTTCTAGAAGATTCTATAAGACTATAAACAAACCTAATTTTATTAGGAATGATAAATCATAATAGGACCTCCTCTAGATCATTAGGCCGCTCATAAAGATCAAACCGGGCCCAATTTAGTAATTTGGCCATAACTTCCTCATTATTCATTGGAATTGGGCTTATAATATATCATTGGAAAGCTCTTTTCAAACCCGATCTAACTACACTATTATTGGACCCTTGCCATGGACCAAAAAAATAAACTTTATTGGCTATTTTCATAAAATAGGTTTTCGAAAACAGAGAGAAATAAGAGAATTAAAACTAACCGTGACACTAGACTTTCCATACTTTCACTTCATTCGATTATGATTTGACGTGAAAGATGTTCATTACCGGGTTTGGTTTTTGGGGAGACACAAATGGGTGTCTACATAAACCCCCACTTTGACTAAGTTTGGAGAAACACAAGTTTCGAAAACAAAAGTCAGAGTATTGATAGGGACGAAGAATGATTCAGAACGTTCTGCGATCCTAAATCATTCTTGTAACGCCGATACCTACAAACTAGCGTTAGTTAAACAGATAAGAGAGTTAAGAAACGCGTATCTTGCACCGTCAAGCTCACGTCTCTATTAGTAACTAATTTGTTGCTGCATTTGTCGTTGTGACAACCTTCCATAAGCTAGGGAACGCCATCTTGCTGTTTTGATGTTAATATGTCCACGCGTCTCTGAACAAAGAGCTTTGACGATCTTCCTCAAGCTAGGGGATACCGCCACCTGAAGACTGCTACACCTGTAACTGCCTCCAATTTCCGCTGTGATAGTCTTCTACAAGCCAGAGAATCCTATCGAAGATTGCTTCGCCTGAAACGATCTTCTACCGCTTTGCAACCATCCTCCGCAAGCTACGGAATATGATCGAAGATTGCTTCGCCTGAAGCCATCCTCATTTGTTGCAATAATATTCCGAAGAACATCACCGAAGATCAACGCCTGTCGATCCTTTAAAGTTCGCTTGAACTTCGCTTTTGCTATGCCAGTGCGTCGGCGCTTTTGCTGCTTGTGAACCAGTATGTTGGTGCTTTTGTTGTTTATGAACCATTGCGTCGGTGCCTTTGCTGCTTATGAACCATTATGTCGGTGCTTTTGCGATGGGCCAATGTTTAGCCGCTTTAAGCTAAGTGAGATGATCATTTATCAGGTCGATCACTTAATGTGTTTGTAACCGAGTCGATTACTAAATCATGTCAAGATTCTTAGAGGGGCTAACTGGCGTACCAAGGAACCCAAACTGCTACACGAGGTCTAAATAATCATTTTGAAAGGCCTCACGTTCTGTCGCCACTACAGCGGCTGCTGGAAGCTGCTGTCACCGCGATTTTTTCTTGTCGCCCGGCGACAGCCTCTTTCACACGGCGCTGCACTCGGGTTTTCCGAATAAAAAGCCCTTTCTTCCTCATTTCGCTGCTGCTTTTCGTTCGAAATTTCGCCACGAAACTTCAAATCGTCCGTTTTTGCTCGTTTCTCAACCAAATTCGCTCAAACTTGTTGCAAATTGAAGCTTTGTTCATGTAGTTTGCTGATCTATGTAAGTTTTTTCCAAACTCAC